ACAGTGACTGTGGCAATGTATTTCCTATTTCCAGAAGGAAGATACCTCTCTCCCCCAACAAATCTTTAAAGAAGTAGCCCCTTACAAAAATTAAGAGATCATTTTAATGACCAAAGACAGCAAGTACTCTGCTATTACCAGTTCCAGCAATATGCTCTTACTTACAAACATTGCTGGGACTAGGAATACATCTAAAACAGGACGGTCATGCACCTGTTGCAAAAATTCCTATAAAACAACTTCTAAAAAGTTCCTTTTGCACCAAATAAACCCCAGCTCTTGCTGCCAACAATAGTATTCTGTTCTATAGAGGATACAAACTAAACACAGTCCCTAGTTCCCAGGACTGACGATCTAAACACACCCCAGGGAAACCCAGAGGAAATAAGAAGGAAAGTTAAGTTGATTTACTTATTGTGTTGTTAATTCACAGTTAATGGGCTACACAGTAGTGTGAATCTCTATGAGGGTCATGAGTTTCACACTGAGGTTACTGCCAGGGAGATTATCCCTCTTTATGCTTTTGGGGCATAAGGGGGAAAAAAGGCAACTAACCACCAGTGGCTGTAATGGTGACAATAAAGAAAGGGAATTGGAGAACCTTTCTGCTCGCATTGTTCTCCTCTCCTTCATTCTTAATTGCTTTCCTCATTTTTCTAAAACAGATTACTCCAACAAACAAGCGGATTAAAATCAGATAAGAGCAGCTCTTAACACCTGTGGCTTTCATCCCTCCCTCTCTGACAGGTATCAATGCAGTTTTCAGCTTGATGTATGAATGTAAACCCATTTCAGACCTTGGTTGCTGTAAGATTTACACCTGAAAACTGTATTTTGAGAGACAATTTGCAAGAAAAAAGGGTCTTGGCATTCCCTGGAAGGATTCAAGCAGCTTCCTCTTCCATCTGGCCATCTTTAAGCCACAGTCACATCGGTCTGAACTCTGAAACCATCGGCCATTCAAACAGTGAGTGATACTTCTAAGGAATTATTATTTTTTTCACAGAACATAGCATTCAGTGGGCATAAATATATTCAAAACTTTCTTAATTTTTATTTTTTTTTCCTAATCCAAAGCTCCTGGACTTGATGTTTTTCTTCATCTCATTCAGGCATTACTCTGTACAGTCCCTACGATTGCCTGGGAAGTGTGCACTGTGCACAGAATAGAAATCAAAGCCATATTATTTTTTCTGCTTTTCTGTAATCTCAACTCAAGCTTCCAGTCTCAATTTTAAAAATGTGATTAAAGTGTAAATTACAAAAGATAACACTACTCTCAAGGACAGAAAAATACTAAAATAAGTTAGCAAAGCTATGAGAGAAGTAGCAATCATTGGCAAGAAGCACCTTAGGATATGAATGAATTGCATGTCATTTAGAGAAGAAAATATATGCAACAGAATTAATCAGCTTATGTAAAAGAGAGAGTATGATGCTGGTACAAAATATAAGAGATGTAAAACAGGGCATGAAACAATAACCATGTGCATCAAATCATCAGGTGGTTTCTGAACAGATGGAAAAAACTACAAGAAACACTACAAGGAGGGTTTCAAGCTGGACATGAACTAAATGCACGAGTCCAATCTGTGCCCCTCTCTCTCACACACACACACACACATCTGTATGCATATGCACACAAACCCTTATGAAATCAGTCCCTCAGCCTAGATTCCTGACCCTCACTCTTCCTCTTTCAAGTTAAGGCTGAACTTCAGATTCTAGAAGGCCAGGATGTGGTGGCACAATGGCAGCATAAAAAAGAGATGAGATTTCTTCTGCGTTTGTGCTCCTGACAGTTTCCTCACAATTCCTATGAACTAGACTGACGACTCAGGAGAGAAAGATGTAGAAACAGTCAGGCACAGCAAATAGAATTAGGAAATATTTTGAAAATAGATTTGCAAGCCAGGACATGCAATAGCCAAATTCACTTCAAGTCTCAACATAGCGAGTTCAAAGGTTTGAATTACTCAAGAATATCCTGTGTTTAGCCAACACTGCTAATCTGGCACATCTCTTCCTTGTCTGGCCAAGGTTTCTTCCCTGCCCTTCTCAACATACCCAGCACAGATAAATGCAATGTTAGAGACACTCATAAACAGGGTGAACGTGAGCGAAACATCAGCACAGCTTTGAAAGGCAGGCCATATATCTACAGTTGTGATGGGTTTAAATTTTGTTTTGTTGTTCTTCCTGCTGTTTGGCAGCAATAAACAGCAATTGCACTTTCTGACCATGTTCAGCTGGGCTCTATGCCATTTTTTGCTGTTTTTGATGGCAGAGTTCTCAAAGACATATATTAAACTATCTGGCCCATAACTCACTAGGCCTGCACTCTTGTTTCCAAGGAGGCCCTACAAGAAGAAGGGAAGTAGGCTTTTTTTAGAAAGGCAGCAGTCTTCTCCATTAGAAATATTAAACTTTCTCATGGAATTTCAATAGCAGTAGCAAACTATTTTGATAAAATACCAGCAGGCTTTGCAGATGGTTTATTTGGGATTTCAACAGAAGAAAATGTGCAAGCTTTACACCCACTCCTTGATGTTGTAAGCTCCCTTACAGTCTGTCCTGTGACCATTCTTAAATACACTAATGTTGCAGATTTAATCTCATAATGGTAATACGTCCACAAACAAATTACTGCAGTAATGTAGTTAGCTCAATTAACTTTTGAATCTATTCACTATGCAGAACTAAAGGTCATTTTCTATTAAAACATCTCCCTCCCACTTCCTTATCACCCTTTAGAACTTACAGGAGTTAATATTCGAAATCCTGTCTATGCTATGTCAGGAAAAAGACGGGATGACGAAGCCAGAAAAAGACCTTACTTTTTGCTAACATAACACAGACATGGCCCAAAGAGAACATCTGCCTTCTTTCATGAAAACAGCTAATTATGGCAAATTGTTAACACCTTGAAGAGGAGTTTCACAGAGGATAAACTTTAACATATGCCATCCTCATACATAAAACATCCTGTACTTCATACTTTTTCAAACACATGCCCCTTTTTCCTACAACAGTTTATTGAAGACCTCATTTTGAAAAGGACATCAACCTGTTTTCCATTCCTGTGGATGCATTTTTTAGTGCTTGCAATTATTTGCCTGTCCAAATAATTACATAGAGACATCCAACTACGTAATCTGGGAATGCAGTCAGGAGATGATACAGCAAGGCCTGCAAAACTGCAAATGCAATTATTTCCCCACTCACAACTCCAAACCACTACAATTTAGACTTTTGCAAAATCATGTCTTCAGTTTATTTGCGCACCAAAATCTGCCTGTCCACCTTGCAGCTCCTGCTATTCTTCCCCTTGAGATCCCATACTGAAGTCACAGTGAATAATTTGACACTACTATTGCCATGGCAACAGCCTGATGTCATACATATACAGAATTATGATTGACATTCCTGCAGTATTCAACAAAAGGAGGAATGAGGGGAAGCAGAAGAAAACCAGACTCAGCTCCAATATGTAGGGGGGAAACAGAGTATCACTGGCACTGTAAATATTGCTTTATTCATAAATCTGCCTTCTCCCATTTTCCACCATGTCAACATTCCTGTGAAGGGCTCCCATCAGAGCCCAAACCACACACTTAGAGCAGAGAAGGCTTCCTCACTAGTGCCCAGATTTGGCGAAAGCACAGAGGGGGCCCTGCTCTTTGCTGGCACTCTCCTTGGGGAGAGGACTCCACACTATGGCTCCAAAGAGTTTTGCCACAAAGGTTAGTCTTCAGAATACAGCTTTTAAATGTCATAGGTATGGCCTAAAACAACATAAGACATTAGACTGACTATTTTTTTTTGCCTCTGAGGATGGTTCTTCAGGTGTTCCTCTGGGCTGTAAATCTTTTTTTTTTTTTTTTCCCCAGTGTTCGTAAGTGCTCACAGAAAGGCAGACACAAACCACTAGGAATAAGATAAAATAACATCTGTTAAGTATTTTTTAAACTTAATGTCTGCAGCAGTTCTCTACGGGCAATACCAAGACAAGTATGGAAACAGCCTTTTATTCTAAATTTCATATGTACATGGAAAGCCGTTTTACACGGTTTTGTAAACTCTGCGTAAAAGAGCTATTGTCATCCAACATCACTGTGCTTACACTAGAAACAACTTTTAAACATGGAGTACATTATTAACAACAAAAACCGTTAACAAACAGGCATAAAAGACAGATATGTGTGCTGATATTTCACATATATCCTAGAAACAAGTTGGCGCAAAAATAAAATGTGCCAGTAAAAAAAAAAAATAGGCTTTTTTTTTTTTTTTTTTTTTTAAATCACACAATACATGATTTTCTGTCTTGCTTTCTCTCTTTCCTTTTTGTACACAATATGCTGAGAACCATTCTCAAGCCTTTTCACATCAGGATTTGCAGGCACTTCAGCAGCCCAGCTATATTTTTTACAATACATGAAGCTTGGATCAACAAACATAAAAACAGTTGCTGCAAAATAAATTCTCATATCTTATATGCACATTCAAATATTACTCGCTGCTAGAGCCATCTTTTTTGGCTTCAGTTATTTTTGGATAATGACATGTTTTCAGGATGACATGTAACAGTTTGTCTCCACTTATCTATCTCATTCATATACTTAAAGGTTTATTTTTAATGTATCATCACAATGCAACAATACAGTATATGGAAGCACAAGGTAATTGTCCACAAAGCTTCACAAACTGTAAAAAGAAGAAACTGTATTATTTTCTTTTTTTTTGATGCAAAGAAAACCTTTGATTTCATCAGCTCTTGCTTCAAGTTATTTCCAAAATTTACCTAAACAAAGACAATTGTGTAACAGCTGATCATGGGATGATCCCATCTTCCTAGACAAAGTTGTCATATGATGAAATTCATTTAAAAGCACAGCAAAGCAGAGCTCAGTTGTGTGTTTGTTCATAATTTCCTGTCTTTAATAAAATAGTAAAATATACTTATCAAGGGCTTGGCTGTGACTGTATAAATAATCTCTCTCCATTTACTTCATCTGTAATGGGCTCTGTATTAAGATTATAAGGCAATTGTAACAGGATTCTCAGGATAACTGAAGGCTTAATATTGTTTTTCTCTGGAGTCAGGATAAAAGCTTTTTTAATAAGATCAAAGTGGGGAGAGAGAGAAAAAAAGAGTGCATATGTGCATGATAGGAGAAGGATAGTTTTTTTAGCATATAGAGACTTAAATATTGATCAACAAAGACTGGTAATGACTCCACTATAAAACATCTTAGAACTGTGACTGTGATACAGAGTAGAACTAATCCTTATCCACTCATGAGTGATATGTAACCTTCCTCCTGATCAGAGAGAAATAAAAAAGGACATGTCAATGCTTCCTTCAATCTCAAATTCGTTAATTATATGCCACAAAGCTGCATACTGGTGTAATAAGTCACTGCAAAGTAAAACACATTACAACAAATCCTAGTAATGAGCCATTGACAACTACTGTACTGGGCTATGGGACTCGGTGTGCAGGGGCAGTATTTGCTCACTTCTGCTATGATTGTCAAATGGTGGAACATCCTTCCATGAATTCAACACTTGAGACAGAACAGCAAAGACGTAAGGCCCACCAACGTTTTGCCCGTGTTTTTAAAGGCACTGAAACAGACAATGGATATATTTCTTAGTACCATCAGTTTAAAAAGTTTTCAAAATATAAGTCTTTATATGAAAACGTTCCTTATTGCATGGTAAGTTGATCTTCAGCTTCTTCACCTCAAGAATAAAATGGTCTTCCCTTTTCTGGTGTTTGTAATCTGTTCAGCCTGGCTACCTGAGATGGTGAAGGTGGTACATCTTGCCTGAAAGGACCTTTAGGAGGGGTATAATTAGGGTCCTGAATTTTCTTATATGAGTCATAGTTGTTAGGCCCTTCAGAAGAAGTTTTTTTTTTCAGTTGTTGTTCTTTCCGCCTCTGTTCTTGACGGAGCAGTTCTTGTGTTTCAAGCATTACCCTGGCATTGAAGCCATGTCCCCCCATATAACCGTTCCTTGATCCCTGGTAGCTGGAATATCTGGGATTTTCCTTCGCAGTCTGGAACCCTTCACCAGGGGAATAGCTCTGCTCCCAGGAGTCTTGAGATACAGAACTGGCATTTTTCCTGCTTTGCCTGGAAAGAAAAAAGGAAGTTTTTAAGACAAATGTTCTTGTTCCCCTTCAACTTTTAACGACAACAGGGTCAGAAAGAAGGGTGCTTCTGCAACGCCATCAGGTTTTCCCCAGCTGTAGCATTCTCCAGAAATCAGGTTGGGAGAATATTTCCTATAGAGTTGAACTGTATTTCTAGGCCTCTCCATGAAAAACCATTCAGTGCTACAATAACCATCAAGTTCTTAAAAAAAAAAAAAAAAAAAATTATAAAAAAATTGCAGACTCGGAAAGACCACACACAATGCTGTGCTTCCTAAGAAACCAGATAACAGTCAGCACTCACAAAGACATTCATGAAAGATTTGAATCTAGACACAGACTTGATTAAAAATGCAACAGGCAGATCTTTAAAACACTTGCTCTAACACTGCAAAAGTTAGAAGATAAAGCTCATTATTGATAGGTAGCTACACAGAGGAGAGTTTCCAGAACTAAGGAATTTTGTGCTACCAGGACTATTTCCCAGTTTGCTATAGCTTTCATAAAAGAAAAGGCAGAGATAACCTCTATAGCTCATTTTTTTGATCCACGGGGCAGATAAATAAATCAAATACATACAGAAATTACAAATTCTTATCTCTTTTCAAAATAAATCATCACATTATTTTGAAGGCAGATTATGGTTCTGAAATAGCTTTAATTTATTATCAAGCTGCTAGATGCTTTTATGAATTTAGAATAAGATTGGTGATGATAAAGTAAAACAATTTTGTGCTGCAGCAAGACATACTCACTTTGAGATTAAAATTAGTGTACAAGACTCAAGCAGTAAACCTAAATATATTGCGACATTAATCAATAGGAAAATAATGTAGTTGTTTATAAGTGGCTTGGATTTTCATGCCAACAAACATGACTCAATGTGGTCTTACCCAATGAACACACAGTGGAGAGACAGGAGACCTGGAGCATTTGTCTACCATTAGTAAACCTTATGTTTTTATAACCTTCCTTCCACAGATATAATTTGAAAATGACCATATCTGCCTTATTTCATAATAGATTTTGAGACCTCTGGATGAAAATAGTTATTCAGGATGAATTTAAATTATTACAGCATAAATCACAACATAATGTAGATTCTTATGCAAATTTTTATAGCTGTTCTTGGTAGTCACATATCCAACTTTGCCAAAGTAACAAAGTTTCTGAGCCATGTAGTATCACTCCTTGGAACAACAGCAAATTGAAGAAACCTCTGTAGGCTACGAAACTGTCAGGTTTCTGATCTACAGCAAGATAAATTTTAAGTACTAGAAAATCAACTTAAGAGTTAAATATTGCTTTTACAGTTTTGCGTGGGACAAGCAGATGATTAGTTGAACTGCTTTAATTTACTGACTGTTTTCTTGCACTTGTTCAAAATTAGTTGGCCCACTTTCCCTGTCTTTCTGGGAAGATCGCTTAAAATTGACTCAAGAGTTTATTCGACTTCAGTTCTAATGACTTGTATGTACATAGGGAAAAAAAAGAGGCTCCTAGAGACGATACAAGATGAAAAGCATCAAAGCTGAAGAATGAAGCCAGAGTACAAACTGTAATCATTACAAAGCCACAACTGCAAAATTAAGCTTGGGACCCCAGTTTTAAAGTAAGAATAAGATTCCTTTAAAGATCAGTCACAGAGTTACAAACAGCTTGTAAAGCTAGTTACAGGAGTATCCTGGTATTTGGAGCACTGAGCGCCAGCCCAAGGTACTGAAATTCTGCCAAACAGCATATTGTAAAAAATCTAAGGTTTTGAAAAAATACTAAGTTGTTTAGACAAAGAGTGTATTAATTTTCAGCATTCCATTTCTAACAAACATGAAACTTTGAAAAAATGTGTATGCTGGAAACTTTACTTTTTTACAGATTCTCTCAGTTCCATATTTATTTGTTTGATCTTTTGATTATTTTTTATTATTTTATTTTTTTTCTCTGTATCACCATCACAAATATAATTTTTTTGCTCAGTAAGGAATTAGGCAACAGAAAATAAATCATCTGACATATCAAAAGGGAACAACCTATGTCACGCTTAGGAGACTTTTCTAATTACAGAAAATTAAACTGGATGGTGTCCCATAAAGAATAGCTTTGTTTTGATGTCTCAGTTCTGTTGGGTGCTGAGTGTTATCAGATCTCAGTGAAATAATCTCTGAAGCAATTATTTTAAAACAAACAGTTACCACATGCTCTCACTTAAGAAATTTTATGCCTCTTCCACAGTGAATACATTCCACCTTATATCAATGCTAAACAAAAGTATCTGTACTAAGTACAACATTTTCCTTCCACAAACAAAATTAGCTCCAGGCTCGGATACACTGAATAGGTTCAGACAGTTCCTGTACCTGGGTAACGAGCTGTACTGCCGCTGAGCTTGCTGGAAACTCTCTCTTTCTTCTTGCCGCTGCCGCTGCATTTGAACCTCTACTGATACCGAGTGTCTGCCACTCTGTGAGTATGTTTTGGTGTTTGGCTACAAAAGGAAAATTAAAAGGTATTAAGCAAAGCAGAAAAATACCCACCAAAGAGCTGTCCTTTAAATTGCTTTTATACACATACGGTTATATTTGTTTCAACATGCGGTTCAGGTGGTTCTTTCATAATAATTAGATTTAACTCCTACCTGTAACAATGGCTTGTGCTACAGATCCTGTTTCTAACCTACCACTTCTGAAATGTATCAGGAAAACACTGGTCCAGAATGGGTTATGTTTTCACAGTAACTCTGACATTCAAGTTAAGTTGGAGCAGATCTTCAGACCCTGTAAGGCAGCCTAGCCCTCGTAAAGCTCAGTTTTACACCCTCACAGAAGATCTGAGGTAGGAGGGAGCACAGCAGCTCTTTCAAACCTCACCAGTACATTCAGACAATGCTCTCCCTGACTGCAGCCCTCCTGTTTTGCTGTTGGTCCAGTCAGACACCACTTGCTTTTCTGAGAGGGAAACATTTGCTGGTTCCACAAGATCAGGTAGATACATTTAGCAAATCTTGTGGACAATCAGGCATCCTGTATCTCTGAGAAGGATTTTAGATAACATCTCAATAAAGTGACAATTTTAAACTTTGAGGCCAGTCCTAAAAGCCCGTGAAAATGGATGGCCTTTCTGCGAATACAGAGCATTACCAGTTAAGATCTTTGGATTATGAAAAAGTTTACTTTTGTAGAGACTTTTAATTTTACATTGCTACTTTCTTCAGATTTTGAGATTTCAAGATGCAAAATTGAATGCCATGAAAGTCAAAGAATGTTATGGGCTTTTTTCTTGTTGTTTTAATAATAATGTTTCACTTAATAAAGAAACAGAACAGTATTTAATTTCCTTAAAATTATCAGTTCTATTGAAAAAAACCTAAGTCTAATCACTGAGAGGTTAGGGAGCATAACCACTTGTCTGAGTCTGGGACTGAAACAGCTGGTCTCAGACCTGCTTTTGTTGAAGTACTTTTTGCCTTCTTGTGTGTTCCTGCCCTCAAAACAAACATCACTTCTGCTTTTTGCCATTATAATTTCTGCAGCAGAAAGATATCATCATGGCTGACAAATATCTGCAAGATAAAAGCTTTTCAAAAGCTTTGCACATCCAAGTTTTAGAAATTAGAAAATTGTCATCTGTGACACAAACTTCGTCTTTGTCTTACTGTGTAGTCAAGTACCTGCAGGTTGCCAGAAACAGCAAATTTGAAACAGGTGTACAACTTTTAGAAACTTCCCTTTCAATAACAATACATTTCAGACAGAGCATCGGTGTCAGCTCAGAATTTAACTGATACAATTTTGTGAACAAGTGCTTTTCCCCCTACAAGAAAATTATTGTGCAGAAGAATGAGAATGTGAAAGCACAGACTAGGAGTAATGGAGAACTTGCTTAAGAGGAGACTTAACAGAACAATGATGTCTACTTTAGAATAGATTTACTCTGAAAAAACACCAGTAAAGCACTGTCTAATGAAAAATGTTTTAGAAATGGTATGATGAAGCAAGAAGTTGAGAAAGCAGAATCGTGTCAGCCTTGTGGGAAATTTTCTTAGAGATGAATAAGCTGTACATATATGTGTCCAAACCAACCACCCCCATGGAGATTTCCTACTATATTAAATAAGGGAAACACATGCAGAGGAGAGTTTCAGTTATTGCATATGTCAACATTTCTAACTTTCTTGACTTCATTGAGTGTTCTGACATTTGGTATTTTATTGAAGGGCTAAGCTTATGGAAGCAAGTGATTACCTGAAAATCACAAGATTTATTTGTGAATTCTCTCCAGTGTGGTTATAAGCAGCTTACAGAGAACCAGGGGGAAACTTAGAGACTCCCATTTCAACTTTTCCATAAGGAATAAAAACATTTAAATTAAGATTTTAGAGTCAATCTCCTCATTTAATGGGTTCCACTTTAACCATGTTGGAAAACTTGCATGTAGTTGGAAAGCTACAGCTATATCATATATGAGAAAGTAGTTATCATAGATAAGAGATTACATCAGAATTGCTTCTCTTTATTTGAAAACAGTTTCACTTTTTTTCAGTTCACTGTACATATTACATATTAAAGCCTTTTACAGCATGGAATGGTTAAATTGTCACATTGCTGGAGCTAGAAATGAGCTGCTACTCAATTTAGGCTTACGCAAGACAGTAAAATGCATCACCTAGAAAGCATGAATGCAAGTACATGCACATACATGTGCAGAGAGCCTAAGTTGCCACAAAAGCCTTTATTAAAGAGACAGATGTTTTGAAAGCCCTGATGCTCTATGAATGAACTAAGATAAAAATTTAGGTTCAGAGTTGTTTAGGGTTTTTTTTTAAATGCACACAGGAACCAATGGGTAATAGAGGCAGAAGCATCATGCCTGACTGTCTGCTGTAGTTCATGCCCAGAGTGACCAGATCTGAGCAGTCAGGTCTGGATTCCCAGCAGATCACAAAGAATTTCATCTAATGGTCAACATTTATAATTTAATGGGTCTAAAGGCAAACATCTAAAATCCATTACCTGATTTTCAAAAGATAGAAGTACCTGTATGCCCTCTTAAATTAAGTTGATTTGCAATACTTAACTAATCTGAAAAGGATACTTGTTTAGAGTCCTGTCTGCATGTTGTTCACATCTACAATAAACTATTCATATAATCGCATCTGCTATCTGATTTCAAGCATCGAAAAATATGGCAATGAGACATAAAAATACTCTGTATGTAATCAAATATTCTAGAATGTAACACACAGACAGGTGCATTCAACCATCTTATTAATGAAAGGCCTTTCTTCCAAGTCTTCTCATTAAAAACCTCAGTGATATCATAGTCAATGTTCTTGATATATGGTTATGAGAATACATAATCTCAACATACTCCTTTTGGATCCTTGATCCAAAAAATGCAAATCTCTATACAGGGATTTCTTTTCAATCTGTTTTCAATTCAAGTATCCAAACCAAAAATGTTTCTATCATAAGTAAACTTAGTAATCAGAAGCTAACTGGTAATTTTGTCTCAATTTCCAAAGTATACCATTATACATATATACTTATACAAAATATGTCCACAAACGGACATCTATATACATGCATGCCCCATTTATGCCAGCACAAAATGGAGGAGATTACCAAAACAAGTTGAACTCCTTTCACATCTTTCAACAGCAACAAAAAAAACAACACACAGAAGGAATACATATCACAGTAATTTAAAAACTGATATCAACACAAGTCTAAGTACAACTATTATAACCTGAAATAACCCAACAGCTCTGATACCAGCTCAGTCTTCACAGTACAGATTGATAAGAACTCTGGCCTTGTTTGCTGTGAGATGTATGACAAACCCTGACCTTTTAAATCAGGATGTGGTCAAGGCCACAACAAAAACAACCAAGGCTGCATTATACAAATCAATGCACGTTCATGTTTTCCACAATACCTTTAAGTGGCAATGATTGGTTTTGCATTCAGCACTGTTAAACAATATTCAGCTTGTAAAATTGTGCTTTAAGATACATGAAATTACACAGCTCTCTTCTTCAAGAGGTATTCATTTAAAACCAGGGCTGCAAAGTTACAAGATTCTATGCATTTCTCACTTTATACAGATTTTTCATTTCACAGAGAATGTACCCCCAGTGCTCCTGTTCCATGGACCACTATTAGGAGTAAAGGGCAGCATATTTTAGGGCTAAAGGTCCCTCTTCTCTTTCTTAGCTAAGCCAGTGGCTGCACACAGTTTCTCTCCCTTCAGAGCAGCATTTCTGCCCATGGAGGGTAGCTCAGAGTGGCAGTAGTGTGGATCCAGGACTGGCAGGAATCAAAGCTGCCACAGAATGAGATCGTGGGGGCAATCCAAGGTGCTGGATTTTCAGGGAAATCCAACCAGTTCAGGTGACAGGAGATCCACCAGTTGATGTGATCTCACAGCCTACTGCTATAGGGAGAAGTTGGGAGAAATGCTTACTTAAACTCAAAAATCTTCTTTGTGCTGATAAACAAACAGTTAAGAGGGAGATTACTAAAGGAATAAGTCCCTTAATATTTTCTTAGTTGTTAAAAAAGACTATTATTTAAGATTAAAATAAACATGCTATTTTTTTTTTCCACATTAAGTTCTGTGTTTAACCCAGAAGTTTCAAGTTCACCTGGGAAGCTGCTGGATGTGACCACTCAAAATAGTCCATTAGTTCAGGACTAATTAGAAATAGATAAGATTAAATGACCTTGCCTGCTTTATGTGTAAATGTACTTCGCACAGATGACAGACAATCCAGTAACACTATATACCAAAATAGGGAATGATAAAAAACATTCAATGGTTCTGGGAGATGTCTGAAAACTATTTCTACTTCCATTTTTTGTTTATGTTGCTACAGTGAAAAGAATTTATAGCAATATTTCTTTTAAAAATTGCCAACAGGTGTGTATATTAATTCAAACCCCATATTAGAAGACAATCCCATCCCTTTGCATATTTTTCTATGGTGTATATGCAGGAAGCTGTGGGACTAACATTTTTATTCTGTGCATAGCAGCAGCAGAAAGAAAATCTTCCATATGGTAGAAACAAACCACGTAGAGAGCCCTGAAATGCTGCCTGGGGTATTTACATGCACTGGATGCCTGTGAGCAGTAAACACGTCTGTTTGCAAACCAAAATTATTTAATTTCTTTTCAAAATATTCTGTCTTAATTTTCTCTTTCACACAAACTAGGAGACTGAAATGAATAGAGGAAAAACGTTTAATACAAATTTTTTTAAAGTCAAGAGTCTAAATAACTGTTATTTCATTAAATCCTTCCTTTGACACAGAATGCATATTAACTATTCAACTGAACAGAAAGTACTTGTGGAGAGGCTGCCCTGCTTAATTTTGATTTCCTCTCTGAAAGAGACTGAGGTAGGAGAAACAGCAATTTAGCTTCTAAGGTATTCTTTTTCTACTGCAATTCTCCATTAGATACTGCCTAATATCTTCAGTAAAATATCCTGAAAGACTCTTGAGATAGATTCATAACAGAAAGATGTAACGTACAACTTTTCTTTCTCATTAATATGTTGAGTAATTCTATATAATTTACAGCCTGATATAAACTTCAAAATGCTTGTTTTGAATATAGTCTGTTGTCATTTTTCCAGGTGTAGTGTATTACAGAGGAAGTTACAGTGATAAAAAACAGGCTTTTGTTTTTCTAAATGAATTTTAAATTATTTAGAATTCATTATGTCTTTGAGTAGGTCAAGAATTTGAATACAGGGATAAGAAACAAATACCATAGGCAGATAAAAAAAGAGGTTTTTTTTCTTGAAATCTGTCTTAGAGACAAGATCTACACACCAACACACAGCAGAATAAGCAAGCATAGTCTCTTAAACTTTCTGAGAATTTATCTATCAAGCCATTTTTCAAATGTGTTACTGGGATCTCTTGAGTATTTCCTCTATGAGAATAATGCAGTTATTTAACTTTGACAAATTTGTGCATGTAATTAAAGCTTTACTCAGGTAAGTCAGGTAGTTTATTTATTTTTATATTTGTTGTAATTTTTTTATTTAATCTTTTTATTTGACTCCTAAATATTTAAAGTGGAGTTTGCTCAGCTGCTCTCTTGATGCCAATTTTCTCCTACCATCCAAACTGATCTGTAATGACTGTAGAAGACCGTATTTCTGAATGGAATTTGCCACTTTCCAATTTTAGCACTGATGTTTGTTTGTTGTTTTTTTTTATTCAAAGATGAAGAAATAAACCACCAACTCTTGTCCCTTCTGCATTTTTGTGGTTTTTTTGATCTTTGGTGTGCTTCAACAAGCAAGACTGGCAAGCAGTTGGAGTGTTTTAAATGGATTTAATATGCTCATTTTAAAATTGGATTGTTCACTCCCATGATATTTGGGTCTATAAGGCTGTGGTTTTGTTACTCAAGGTAGGGATCTTTTAATTAAGATATGACTAGGCAAAAATACAAGATATGGAACAAATTACAATCAAAATTTCCAAAACCACATAACTGGTGCAAACCTCAACAGACTCAATACTACCCAGAAAAGATCACGAACTAGAGACTCCACTTTGGTATCAAACAGAAAAAAAACAGCCCCAGAGAATCCTGCATTGGGATAAAAATATCATAGCAACAAATATAACCTTACATATTAGCAGACCTACTGCAACTCCATGCCATTCTACATGCCTGAATACATATTTCTGCAAACTCTGTCCAGAATTAACCCCAGTAGGATTAAAATGGATTAATCATATTTTATGATGGTGTTTGCTTTTTGTTTGTTTTGGTTTTGTTTTTTGTTTTTCCTGTGTAACATCCAGCATACAGTATTGCCCTTGAAACCCTCTTGTACCTTGTTTTTTGAAACACAAAAACCAAAAAAGCCATGTAAGAGAAAAAACATTATGAAGCCTGAGAAAATTATCTTACAATAAACAAATGCAAACTCCTTTTTCTTAAAGCTTTGACACAACTGCAGAACTAGTGTGGTTTAGAGATGCTGTGACAGTTAGTCAGTTATTAAGCCTTAACAGTGTGTCATGCAAATGGCCTTGAGCAGAACTGTTAATAGATGGTGTCATCTCATTCCAGCTCTATCACTTTTTATGTCAGTTAAGCTTCCTGATGCTGTATGATCACTCATAGGCAGTCAAGTATTTTGTTTACTGGCAGGGCAAACGCAGCCGTGCCAGAAGTCCAGCTCTGCCACATTGCTCATCTACAGGGAAACAACCTTCACCTGACGGGAACAGCCAGAAAGGGATGGGGTCATGCACCGGTCTCTCTGTCACAGGTATCGCTCAGAGCCAGCATGATGTAGTGCTCTATGGCACAGAGATGTGCCTCCAGCCCGTGGAGGAGACTGAAGGTATTTGTCACAGACCACCAGACTCCTGTGTCACAGGCCATTAATAGTCTGGGATGGATTGGAGTTGGTGACGTTCACAGGATCATTCTGATAATGTATTAGTGGGCTTCTGAGCTATTGAGCTCCTCTAAATATCCTCAGAGCTGCCAGATTTCCATCAGAATCCATTACTTAGACTGCAAACTTTGTGTTCATTTACACTTCCTTAAAGTAACCAAGAGTCCCACATCACATCAGCACTTTGTTCCCTTATCCTCAACCCTCCCATCATCTTGTTAATGAGAAATGCAAACTACTTATCACCTCATAGCACGCACTTTGTGGATTTACTTTTTTTTCCTCTCTTTCTATCCAAACCAGGTCAGAGTTGGCTGCTGTCATGTGCTCAGAGGTTTCTCTGGCTGTAAAGCCCTTTGTTTCTGCTGCACAAGCCATCTCCCTCAGGTGAAAACACACTTTTCAACAATGGTCCATGTACAGGTGCACTTTTCACTGCTGTGGTTTGTAACCAACAGCTTACAGATGGAGAGACTGAAAAGATGTTGATGAATGTATCTAAGTATTTTCCTGCATATGTATTATAAACCATTCTTGCATTTTTTTGTGTCACAGATATTTAATAATACATCTGGATCTGTTTTGAGAGGGTGTCTTAAAAAAGTCTGTCATTTAAAACGAGTATCTTAAAGTAATACACACTCCTTAAGAGAGAGGATTATGGCTCCTTAGCACCTAAGTGACTGAACTGCTGAAATGGATGAGATCATTGCTTTATCCCTTCCAAGCACCGTGATCTTGAAAGGATGGAGTACATGATGGAAAAAACCCTAAATCATAATTTAAAAAATACCCTGGGAATTTTTAAATATATATTTTTTTTTTTTTTAATAAAACATTTCTGTTTAACAACAGAGCAGCTCCCAGCAAAGCAACAGTAAGCTTCAGAATTAATATTAATACATTAAGCTGAATTAGTCACTTTGAGCTCATTTGCATGATCTGCAGAAGGGGAGTAAACAGAGAGATTCTATTTGTTTGAATAAGAGAAAAAGGAAAGGTCAGTGTTCTGACCCACAATTTAGGAAATTATTCCATTCCTAAGGTAATCAGCCTGTCATCCAAATAATTCCCTCCTTGCTCATTACAAGTAACTATAATAAAAGCCAAGTTGCCTGTCTAAAGTTGCTATGGCATTTAGATATACAACAATTTGGCCCATGACCTTCAGTAGTTAAGTTCCCAAGTCTTCAAGAGCGCAAGTTTTTCTCATACACAGTTTTCCCAAGAATGCTGCTCAAATCTCTCATTGGAGACAAACCAGCATAATGGGCAAGTACCTCCTACACCCAGCCCCCTGTCACCCAAAAACTGCTCCAACTGCTCCAAACCAAAAACACTACAACTCTGATGAGCTATCAAATTATTTTCATCACATCAAATTGAAAACATCTGGTCATAAAATAAATGTTTATTTTATTTATTCAATTTCAGAGAAGGTCAGAGGTTTTCTAACATGGGAAAAGAGAAGTCCATATCCTGATACAGTATGTTAAGCAATTTTAGGTCATTTTACCTTAGTTCCTCTCCATGCTGCATGTCAAAAACACCACAGGGTCAAATTGGTGAGTTTAAGATTGACAAGGACACAAAGACCCTACAAAAGTCAAATAACCTTCTATATCCGACACAATAGATAACCAAAGATGTCATATGAATTATGATCTTACCTAAGTTGTTCTCAGTGACCTCGTACACACAGATGCTGATTTTCAGCTATTTCCACCTTGGTCTTGTGTGCATTGTAATGCTGAGTAACTAAAACCCATCATCTACACCTGCTTCAGAAGAAGCAGGGAGATTCTACTGCTGTCATACAGCTTACACTTTTTTGGGAATGCAAGCAAATTGTTCACTGTCTTTATTCTGGAGCTTTAAACAAAAATACAATAAAATATGTGTCCAGTATTTAAAGTATCCTAATTTAGGACATGTAATTGATTAAAAAGCAACATTGATTCATTCCATTATGTTAAACAAGATAAGCACATGGATTTACATAATTGTATCACACTGCTAGATCAGATTGAACAGGATTTAAATGATCAATTAGGATGTATATCTCGAGACAGAGCTGTCTTGGCTAATATAAGTGGTAAAGGGGTATTGTGAAGTATGTTATACATATCTATACTTTTTTACTATTTCTCTTAAGGAAAAGAACAAATTACAGTGATATTGCTTCAGAGAAAAATACCATTAACAAGGTTACATGTGCTTTCTAATTATTTCTCATTAGTATGTGCTTTATTCTAATTTTCCTTGAAAGTTTCAGAATAATTGATATCGCCTTTGAGGCAAAAAAAATCCAAGTGGTAACTCACACAGTCAAGAGTCTAAACACAGAGCAAATAATGCTATATGCACACAGGACAGATGGCTGAAGAAATTTAAAAATGAAATAAACTTTAATGCTCTAAAAATGTGGATAACAGACAGGGCTGAAGTCTGGAGGCAGAAGACCCCTCATCCCTATCGTTTTGCTCCCAACAAACCCATGGAGAGTGGAAGCTCAGGAAACTTTCCTGATCTGACAGCTCCATACACTTACCCACGGCTGCTCAAAACTGTAAGTACGTCTCCTGTCTTCCACATCCTCATCTTGCTTTGCTTGCTGAAACTCTTGTCTCAGGCGCTGTATCCGGTCATGATTGTTAGGGGTTGACCTGTTGCTAAAAGAGGGAGGATGGACATGATCAACATGCTTCAGAACTGCCATCTGTGATTGTAATTTCTTAGGAAGGGACTGCTACTACAGTGTAGGAGTACAGACTTTAAAATAATTTCCAAGAATTAAGTACAAATATATTTAGTTTTTAAAATATGATGAATGCTGTCTGACTCATGAAACTTCAGATAGTGTAAGGGTAAGATGAATGAGGCTATTCCAAAAAATGATCACAAATTGCTGGCATCTTTTCAGTCTATGTTACTTCTAGAAATAAAAAGGAGTATAGGCAATAGTGACAGACTTAACACAAAGGGAAATTAAAAGTCCTGATGATCTCTGCTACTGAATAAACATGACAGATACTTTTCCCCAATCAATACACTGTAGTACTGGCAGACCTTTATTCACATCAAATTCGTTACAAAGTCTGAAGGCCCTACCTATACAAAATTTGATTATTTTCCCCAATCAATAAGACCCTGTCATCCCTTAGTTCTGTTTTTAACAAGTCTTTTAAACTGATCAGTCTGAAAGCATTAAATGGCTTGGGGGCCAGTAAAGAGCACTCCATGTGACAGCGTGGGATGCAGAAATGCAACCCAGCAGGGCAGCGCTGGCTGGTGCTCCATGGGTGCTGGCGGCTGGGGAGGGCTCAGCCCTGCAGGTACCACCATGAACCAGCACACCCTGAATCTTCCATTCTTCCAAACCATCAATTTTTCCACAATGCCTACCACAGATAATCTGCTCTACATAGCACAGCTTTATGTGAAACCCTAATGAAATGTGCACAGGAATGGCTTATTTCACAGGGCAGAGGGAAAGTGGATATTTATTAATCTTGTTGCTGTTTTTCCAGCTGTGTGCTTGCACTTGACCCCTACAACCCCCACTGTATTTCAAACTTGTTAATGTGGGAATCACAGGAAGCCTGACAAACAAATATGTTCTATCAAGACTAACCAGAAGCATTTTAATTTCTTATTATAGTTTTCCTAAGCCTTGCATTTTATTGTTTATTTCAAAAGAGGTGATGACGAATGGTCAGCTATTACTTTGTTTCAAAAGAGAAATCTGCAGGGAGACAATGGAAAGCAATTCCATAGATTCCTGGTATTGGACAGGACACAATAAAACACAGTAAATTTATATCCTTTGTTTTCTCTCATATGAAAAGAGACGATTCTGGAGTCCATTTGTGACTCTTTTCCATGTCTTTTGGGACTAGTAGGTGCAGTGGATTGGAGGCCTCAGGTGTTCAAGATGTTACCTCCCACTCTTTTTAGTGCTATTAAATGGAGCTTATCAGTGCTTTGCTGGCCAAACAGAAAATTAGCATGGGTCTAGCAAAGACTAATTTCTGAAGAGGTTTGGATTTTTTCTTTTCTTTGAAACCAAAGGTAAAGAAAAGGAAGGAATTTAGGGAAGTGTTTTCTTTATTTTTTTTAATTTTTTATTTTTTTTTTTTCAAATTGGAGCTTTAGCAAATGTTTTATTTATAGTGTAGGTCAACGTCTATGTGCAAATTGCCATTTTGAAAAGCACAATTAAACTAAAGCTTTATTTAGCACAAGTGAAAATGAAACATTATGACATTTTCAAAATTTCCGCTCCATTGTAGGTGTGTTGTTAATTCTATTTCCTTAATTCAACTTAATTTTGCCAAACAGCTTATCTCCATTTGCAGTTTTATGTTATGTAAATTTATTCCTTATTGTCAACGTCTGCCCAGCTTCACTATACAACCACTTGTTCTTTTTCTGATGCATTGCTATACACTGCACATTTTAATGCTATCATCACAATCCAGTACAAGACATACAAAATATTTTTAAATGGTCTGTTGATTTTTAAAATTGGTATTGTTAATGCAACAACCAAGTAATCCAATACTTTCTACACAGTGTTTTCTGTAAGACAAATTGTATTTAAACATAGAAAAATACTTTAAATATTAGTATTTCTTGTATAAGAATATGTGTTTGAAAGAGAAAAGCCATTGAACTTCAGTGCAAAATTACTAGGAAAGCACTTCAAATTACTCAAGATGATTAGTAAATACTCATCCTTTGTTAATTCAGGTTGTTTCAACCAGTAAGGGATCACAGTGCAAAAGTGACACTGGAGCACTTATCCAATGGCAAAGCATAGCAGAGGGTAAAGCCCCAAAGTACTGCACTAAACCCTGGCATCATATGAAACAGGCACACTCTACCAGCCCCAAAATGGGCTATTGGAAGAGTTATTACAGGTCTGAGGAGTTCTGCATGTTTGCTGATTGCTATTTATTAAAACAATTACATCAACAGAGGAATAGCAAGCAAATCCATAGTGTTTATTCCATGAAGCCAAAATTACTTCACCCAAATGGCAAATGCATTAATTTGAAGCCCTTTACTCTGTAGAGATGGAATAACAAGGACAAGGAGAATCCTGAGATTATGATTAACTTGTCTCAAGAGCTAAGAAGAACTTATTCTAATGACAAAACAGAAAAAAAAAAAACAAAAAGAGAGAGAAGAAAAGAAAAATAGAAGTCAAGCTGATTTAAGAATAGTTATTCAAGTTATTAAAAGGTTTGATAATGGCAGAGAATATAAATCTTTTAACAGTATTTCTATTTTATCTAAAAAGCAAGGGACATGACCCAAATTTAGAAAATTGCAAAAGAAGTGAATTTAAAAAAAAGGTCTATTTCACAGAAAAGAAAGAGCTAAATTAAAAGAAAAACCCACTTCTCAATCTAGTCAAATTTCTTTGTGCTTAAAAAGTCTGTGAGACTCAGAGAGTGAGGTCAAGTCAGTGAATTTATAATAATAATAAAAAAAAATTAACCATTTTGATTTAGAAGAGCAAAAGGGAAAAGGCAAGCAGCTAAAGAAAGTTAAGGCTCTTCAAAGAAAATAAAATTTGAGGTCTTAGACTATAATTCAGGTTGGCTTCTTTTGGTTTCCATTTTCCTCTCAATGTTGTTCTCATTTTTTATGTTATTTAGCTGCTTTAATTCTCACAGAATCACAGAATCCTAGGGGTTGGAAGGGACCTCAAAAGATCATCTAGTCCAACGCCCCTACCAGAGCAGGATCACCCAGAGCACATCACACAGGAATGTGCCCAGGCAGGGTTTGAATGTCTCCAGTGAAGGAGACTCCACAACCTTTCTGGGCAGCCTGTTCCAGTGCTCTGTCACTCTCACAGTAAAGAAGTTTTTTCTGATGTTTACATGGAACCTCTTGTGTTCCTGTTTGCACCCATTGCCCCTTGTCCTATCACTGGACATCACTGAAAAAAAGCCTGACTCCGTCCTCCTGACACTCGCCCTTAACATATTTGCAAACGTTGATGAGGTCACCCGTCAGTCTCCTTTATCCAAGCTAAAGAGACCCAGCTCCTTCAGCCTTTCCTCATCAGGGAGATGTTCCACTCCCTTCATCATCTTTGTGGCTCTGCACTGGACTCTTTCAAGCAGTTCCCTGTCCTTCCTGAACTGAGAGGTCCTGAACTGGACATAATATACAGATGCAGCTTCACCAAGGCAGAATGGAGAGGGAGGAGAACCTCCCTTGACCTACTAATCACACCCTTTCTAATATACCCCAGGATGCCATTGGCCTTCTTGGCCACAAGGGCACATTGTTGGCTCATGGTCATCCTCCTGTCCACCAGGACCCCCAGGTCCCTTTCTCCTACATTAATCTCCAGCAGGTCAGCCCCCAACCTGTACTGGTACATGGGGTTGTTCTTCCTCAGATGCAAGACTCTGTGAAGTTTTGCGTGTCTCCATCCTGACCTGCCATGCTGTCTCCCATTTCTTTTCATGCCTACCATCATCAAGTTAATTTTATCATCAGAGCTCTTTTGCCATTTTTTATGTTTCCCACCACACTCAGGGAACACTTGGTAGACCCACTTGATATTTCACTCAACCCTCAGTGAACAATTACTACTTCCAGAAGAAGGAAAATGCAGAATTCATAATCAGAATAAAAAAAATGTAATTAATACAATTTTGGAGCCAAAAGTGTAAACCTAACCTTATTCCTTTTTAGTTCCTGTGATATTCCCTTTTATCTACAAGTCCTTATGTAAGTCCCATCATTATCCCCTGGGACAGATCAAAACAAATTATATCCAGTGTGAACAGTCCTTAGTCAGTCTTAAACAAAATTAATTCTGCTTCACTGGATTAGTTAATCCAAGGGCAGTAGGGTCATATCAACAGATTACTAGGATGCAGGGATGCAGGTGTCTTCCTGCTGCTTAAATTCCTTTTTGACTTTTGCAATTGTACTGTGCAAGTCCTCCAAAGTTTAACTAAATGCATCATGTTTTGTTGGAGATTTTCATTCAAAGGAGCTGAAAATCTAAAGGTAAAAGCACCTCAAAGAATTCAAGAATGCCAAGAGGAAAGAAGCAGTTTGACTTGAAATTAATCCAAAGTTTAATGAAGATTTGACCTATGCTAGTTTTAAACCTTTTGGTGAAACTGGAATTGCAACTCTCTACAGCAACTACAACTTGGCCTTTTTCCTCCGCCTACTTAATAACAGGATGGTTGTGAACTTACATAAGACAATAAGCATCTCCTAGCATCAGATACAAGTGGTGTTCTTCTATCAAAGTGCTCTCATTATTAAATGTTCTTAAAATAAATAAAAATCAAGGAAAGACTTCTGGGCCGAAGTTAACTTGGGTTGCAAAGTCGCTGGTCTTCCTTGTATCACATCTCTACTTGGTGCCCCATTGCCTTCCACCTGCAGATGACACATGTCACAATCAGCTACTTGTGACTGCTGCTTTAAAACACTTAACCACCAGCATGGGCTAAAACTGCAACTGTAAAGAAGGCTTAGATAGGCCGGAGCTGTCACATATTCCAGAAACAAGAAGCCAAATCAATGACCATCAGAGTCTCAGATCATTAAGCAATGTCTCAGTGTGATGTCATGCACTGATGTACAGAGTTGTAATCCTTTCAAAACAGACAGATTTTCAGGATGA